TTCTGCATCAGCGCTTGTACGCGGTCGAAAACGCGCTTGGCGGCTGGTGTATCACCGTTGATAGGTGAGCGAGGTGCCTTCAGCAGTGCTGAATGCTTTGCACTCGCCACCGAAGGCTTAGAACCCTCGGTCCCATCGTCATAATCATCATAGGCCGGTTCCGGTCCCGCAACATCATCGAGCTCGTCGGCGAGGTTCCTCGAAAGGGACCTGGTCGTCCCGCTCAGCCCCGATGATAGCGTGGCCGTTTCCGGCGTCGCTGCGCCTGGCTCTGGAGCCGGCGTCGCTGCGCCTGGCTCTGGAGCCGGCGTCTTATCTTCGTAATCTTCATAATCGTGGGCGTCAGGACCGATGTCCGCTTCGTCGTCGAAGCTCACTGAAAGCTCGGTGGCGGCTGCAAAGCGCGCAGCCGGGCTTGAACTCTCGTTGCGAGCTCTGCCAGACCTGACAGGCGTAACACTCTTCCACCGGCCTTGTCGGAGGAGCCCGGGCCCTGGACTCCGAGTCGCTTGAAGCGACGTCGATCTGAACGAAGTTCGGATCCGACTTGAGGCGGCGGCGGCGGCGGCGTCGTCGACGGCGACCGTGACGTGGAGCTTTGCTACCCACGTCTGGGGATGTCGGCGCTCCGACATCCGAGGCACTCGTGGCCTCGTGTGGTACTGTGGTACCCACACAGGAAGCGTGTTTGACGCCTTCCTCTTCAGTTAAGGTCTGGGCGACCGCGTGTGGCACTTTGTTACCCACACAGGAAGCGTATCCGACGTCTTCCTCTTCAGTTAAGGTCTGGGCGACCGTGAGTGGAACTCTGTTACCCACTTTGAACACGCTGTTCTCAGTGTTCGTGACAGCTGCAGCTGTCTGCGGAGCTAAGCTACCCGCCTGTGGACCTAAGTTACCCACTTGGCCAGCGCCTCTTCTGGGCGCTGCCACCATCAAAACATCCTCGGAGTCGTCATATACGTCGACGACTCCCAAGCATCTGCCGGATGCTTTGGTACCCTAGCAACCCTTGCAGGCGCCCTGGGTCCTGACAGAGGTGGGAACATGACTCACCAATGCTCTGTCGGACTGCGCAGGGCGGCTGGCACCGATTGCCTTGCCTCACCAGTCGATCCAGGGCTCGTGCTTCTCAAGCCAGGGCATGCCCAGGATCATATCATATGGATCCATATCGAGAACAGTGAACTGTTCGAGGCTGTCAAAGTCTTCAAACTTGACGGACAGATTCACTTGACGTTGGGGACAGTGACGACCTTCCCGTCGACCAGTCGCACTGACACCGTCCCGTTGCCCTTGCTTTCTCTCAAAGAATCGGACAGCGTGTTGCTATTACGAGCAATCGTCTGGCGGCGTGCGAAATGCTTCGACGCCCCAAAATCGATCAAGATTATTAAGGGATGATCGTATCCCCGTACACATCCGTGTACTACGAGCAACCCGCCGCTGCTCTTCGCCGATTCGAGAGTGCGAAGACTCTCAGGGGCTAAGTCTCGTGGTACGCGCCACCCGCGCACTCATCACGAAGACTTAGTTCCTCCCCAGTAGGGCGCCCCGCCCCTACTGGTTCCCGGTGTTTCCTTGTCCCCGAGATCCTGGCTTCTGCCAGCGACCCTTGAGGACGGGCTTGGGGAAAGTCTGTCTGCGGCGTCTTTCCGTGGGGCCGTCGCGCTTGAAGTGGCCCATCTTCCCGCAGCCGAAGCAGCGAATGCCACGCTGTTCGGCGGACCCGAGTTCCAAGGGAACTGGGTTGGCCCGACCGGATTCAGCACAAAATGCCCTGGCCACGCTGAGGCCGGCGTACGCGCCTGGCGATGACTATACTCTTCGTGAAGAGCCCTTTGAATCGTCTCTTTGTGGGTGCTTTACTGCGCCCGGAACAGCTTAGTGCGCGCCGGCTCCACTCGAAGGCCGTCCATGAACGCAGTCACCTTGATGTGCTCGTTGAGTGGGTTGCGCACTAGGGACGCCGTGCGCTCCCGCATCTCTAGGATGTACTTGTGCAACTCGCGCCTTCCTTGCTTACACGAGAGAAAGCGCGAACGCTGGCGGTACTCGTAGTTCGCCAGAAGGAACGCGGCTCGGAGCTGTTCACACAGCTGAGCCCAGGATGTAAAACATCCAGGGGATGTTGCCTCCCGTGTGTACACCCAACTCTTAGCACGGCCGCTAAGGTTGGAGAGTGCAAAAGCAACACGAAGTTGCTCGGTCGAGATCAGAGCCGCGTCCATCGCGAGCTCTACTTCTCGGACCCAGAAGTGAGGGCTCTCGCCTTCCTTCCCTTCATACGGCTTAAACTTCAGCCGTATTGGCTTCGGGTGAGGCGGATTTGCTTCCGCCGCCGGAGCCTGCAGGTTCTCCCGCACATGCGCGATGAGCCCCTGCTCGTACACATCAAACGCATTGACGCGCTCGAGCTGCTCGGCCGGTGTTGACACCACCAGGCTCTGCAGGGCCTCCATCACGAAGATGCCTGCCATCTTCCGAACCGACTCGAACTGAGAGTCGTTCATGTGGTGTTGGAAATCCCACGTGAACTCTAGCTACAGATGTAGTTAGGATGTTCCCACAACAATACGTCTACTAGGATAGTAAACGATCGTTCGGGCGGACCTGAAGACCCCAGTTCTGCCCTTGCACCGGGACAAACTGGACCTTGTAAACTACTTATATAGGCTAACCAGTAGAATAAGAACACGCTACTAGCACGAGCAAAGCTAGCAGGTGTTTTGAATCCTCGTGGTCCCAACAGCGGAAGGGTACCAGGCACGGGTAAGCCTTTTACGAGATCACCGAGTGTTCAACACTCGGCTGGAAGAAATAAAAGGGAGGCAATTCAAGCACTCCCAGTCGTGCAAATAGGCAACAATAAGCCGTCACGTAAAACCTCCCGATAATAATCGGCCAATACACAAAGTCTCTTGGCCTTGCCGAATGAACCCTCGCTACAGAGCTTCGAGTTCACCGACAGGCATAACACACTCAAACAAGCTTGACCTGACGCTTACCTGGAAGCCGGACGTCGCTCTGTGTGCTTGAGTGGAAATTCTGTTCTGTATTTAAGCTTACCCTTTCGGGTCTATTCCTAATAAGAAGTCCTAATCAAGTATACAAATATCAAGTGAACAATGATCCGTTATGGATCTTCTTGCATGCCAAGCGTCGTCTGCACTGTCGCATGAGCATCTTTAACGGTCCGCGCCCTGTCCCAGACGGTTAACGTGTCTTCCAAAGGTCGCTGAGTATTCCGCGAACTCATCCCAACCGCCACTGAGGGTTCGTACCGTAGATGGTCCGCTGAATGCGAATCCGGCCAGTCCATTATTAATAATAAGGACAGCCTGGATTCAGTGACATAGGGCCGTATCCGATATTTGTTGAAAACTCGGAGGTGACGCCGTCGAGTCCCTTGCACCTTGGCGTCTCCGTACATCACCCGACCGAGGGTTCGTCGCTTGAACAACTTGGGCGGTGTCACGTCTTTGTCGACGGGTGATAATCCGCAACCACGGAGAAATCACTACACCACATTCAGATGGGAGAAGTCGCTCCTATCCATGGCAACGAACTTCGGAGAGGTTCAAGTAGTCTACCCGCGGTGGCCTGGATTGACTACGAGTGCTACCAAGTGTGACGGGGTCACACAGCACCTTGCGCTATAGGAAGTTAGCTTCTGAGAGTATACAAACTCTCAGTGAGCGGCAGTTCACAGGTCCCCTCTTTATCAAAAGAGAGCGAAGTGACCTATTTAAGGTAGAATGTAAACTGAGTATAAATATAGGTAGATAAAAATTGGGTTTAATACAAACTATAAAAGCACCTATAGAAATGCAATGACATCAACCAATGGTTCGCTTTGGACGACCTTGATACCTAGTACCAAATATCCCTAAGTGTGACGTGTCACACTTCATGTAACCAGGGTACACTTAGGGCTACGTACCCCGTTACAATCATAGAGAACCCATGCCCGGGGCTGATCGTTCATCACGCGCGTGCTGCTGCTGTTGACGACGTCGCCGTCGTCGGTGTTCCCGTCCGCTGTTGATCCATCATGTTGCTAGTCAAGTTCTCCGCAAGTTGAGTTGTGTCACTCCTGCGCTCCGCAGGAGATGTCCCCGGTTCGCTTCGCCCGCTAGCCAAGTCCCCGTTCGCCATCCTCACGTAGATTGATTTGTTCTTCGCCCGCTGCTTATGTTGCGTAAGTACAACTTTAAGAGGGGGAAATGTAATGGGCCCCTCCATTACATAAGTAGGTAGATTTCTCTACATAAGTAGGTGCATCAGCATACGACTAGCGTGTGCTGAAATGTTGTCATGGCATTGGCTGATATATGGGGAGCCAGACCCATTATTAGCCATTTGGACTATGACGTGTATTTGAGTGGCCAAGGCTGTGGCCTTGGTCCTAAAATAACGTCATAGTAGATTTTTCCTAAAGCTAAGATTCAGTCGTCCTATTGCGAGCTTCCTCAACTCTATAGTGTAAGCCAGTAACGGAGTAAATACCTGGTCCGTTACACGTGAACTAGACGCCACTTCCCGTTCGGCTTTCGAACGCAGAAAGTTGGCGTCGAGTGCGGGAATTTCGACTCCCGCACCATGCCCGCCTTCGCTCTCGCAGCGAATAAGGGATCGATGACCTCGCACTATTCGCGTGGAAGAGGCCATTGTCTCGTGACACAGTACTTTGTGCCAGGCGCGAGATCGATCTCATGCCGTATGCCTCGATCCGGTGGGAGTTGGGTCGGTAAATGTTTGTTTACCACGTCCGCATACTCCGTCACCCAAGGATACACCGGATCCTTGGGGTTCTAAAGGATCTCGGAACCCAAGCGCGTCTGACGCTGCTTACCTGGAGAGAAATCGAAAATTTTCGAGTGCGCATTTAGTTTTGGCGTGCACTTTAGCAAATATTATGTTGGTTTTTCACACTGGAAAGAGCTTGCCTTTTGCGAACCCTCATTGGTGGATAAAGCTGCATTTTCGCGTCTCAGCAGATGGAGGAGAGCTCTCAAGCGGCTGCGGACACGTCGCCATACGCGGCACCCAGGGGTTCCCCGGAAGAGGACGGCGACTATGATGATGATGAAGAAGATGTGTATCTGCTGCACAACCTGGCTGAGCAAGGTCGCGTGGATCGTTTGCGCTCCGTTTTGCCGTTGCCCTCCGAGTGCTCCGAGCCGCCTCCGCGTCTGAGCGTCCTCTCGATCGAGACAAGTCTACTCGAGAAGGACGATATGGGCTTCCTACCACTACACGTCGCTGTGATCCATCAACAGGCAGACTGTGCGCTGCATCTGCTGCGCTATTCGCCAGCACTCACGAGCGCCATGTTGCGACTGAAAGGGGGAGACTTTGGCACTCCCTTCCTGCACTTGATCTTGCGAGTTGGGTCCATTAACGCCTCGTTCAGTGGACAACTGATTAATGAGCTCTTCAGTGAGGACAAGCAGTCCACAGACGGAGGCTTCTATGGCGACGATGTGCGATCGCTGCTGTTCGAAAAGGTGGCAGCGAGAGACGAAGAGGGCAACACAGTCTTTCATCTGTGTGCTCGGTATGACCTCGTCACGTGTATGGACGTACTGGCCTCATTCTACAGTCGACACTTGGCTGCTAGACAGACTGAAGAGAGGGCAGGTGTCGATGGCGAGAAGAAGAAGAAGCCGCTGAAGCTCGAGACGCTGCTGGAGAAGGGCAACAAAGTGGGATTCCGGGCGCTGCATGAAGCCATGAAGTACCGATCCGCTGCGTCAGCAAGAAAGTTGGTAAATGGATACAAAGTGGACGTGAATCCCATAACGTCTCTGCTTCAGACTCCGGCGCATATTGCCGCTGTTGCAGGTTTTGCCGAGGGCGTGGAGATCCTGCGCAGTTCACCTCGAGATGTCGCTGCAAATTTCGCATTGAAAGACACACATGGATACACAGCAGGTCAAGTGGCTCACAAGTGTGGATTCGATGGGCTTGAAAGGCGTTTGGTGGCAGCAGAAGCAGATGAGAGCGTTACAGAGCCAGCTGATCACAAGGAAGATGTCGCTTCTAAAGACCAGACGAGATTCTTGTTCCACCCTGAAGTGTGGAGGCATTTGCCCATGTCATATCATCGTCGAGGTGGACCCGACCCTCCACCAGAAAACCCGGAGCGGATGAACACCCTGGTGGACCCAGTGTTTGGTATCCTGCGATCACGCGAGTTCCAGAGGCCAAATGTGAAGTGGGATCATGATATTGAACGTGCAGATATTGCCGAGATTCTGCGAGTTCACGAGTATCACTACGTCGATCGCGTGCGTCACAAATGTGCCTCTCTCGCTGCGTCAGTTATGAGCAAGACACCTGTTGTATCTAGGAACGATGGCGCAAGGCATGACCAACTCAAGTCAACGTCTTATAGCGGTATTGACGACGCTGAAGAGTGTCATGCAACCTTTTCTTTAGATTTCGACACAGCATTGTCGGTTCGTTCCTTCGATGCAGCCACCCGTGCCGCTGGAGCAGTGTGCAAGGCAGTGGACGAGGTTGTAGCCGGTAAGTGCAGGAATGCGTTCTGCATCGTGCGGCCTCCTGGACATCACGCTGGGCCTGTGGGTAAAGTGGTGTGTGAGAATGATCCCGAAGGAAGTCTTGGCTTCTGTCTGTTCAATAATGTGGCTGTCGGTGCAGCTTACGCACGTGCACATTTCAAGCATCGCGGGATCAATAAGGTAGCCATCTTGGACTTTGACGTGCATCACGGCAACGGAACAGAAGAAATTGTGCGACAGCTGGTGCCGTCTACGAAAGAGATTGAGTTCGAGACACCTTACGGTACTGGCAAGCAAGTCGTGCATCAATACAAGCCCTGGCGCAGCGACGATGACTCGGAGAACGTATTCTTCTGTTCGGTACACGGATATGGACACAAGGACCCAGAGAATAAGGAGGAGCTGGGCAAAGGGGAGACGCAGGGCTGGTTCTATCCTGGCTCGGGTGTCTCTGGTTTGAAAGAGGGCCCTGTGATCTGGGACGAAGGTCTGCCCTTTTGCCATGAAGGCGCGTCTGCTTCGCGTCTCAAGTGGCGCAGCGCCTTCAGGGATCGGATTTTGCCCAAACTGCGCGAGTTTAATCCGGATCTCATCTTCTTGTCGGCGGGCTTTGACGCGCACAAGAAGGAGCTCGTTAACTGGGGCTATGTGTCGCTATTGGAGCAAGACTACGAGTGGCTTGTGAGCCACGTCAAGCGAGTGGCCAACAGCTGCTGTGATGGCCGACTCGTCTCAGTGCTGGAGGGAGGCTACAACTTCCACGGACGTATCATCTCGCCCTTCGCACGTAGCGTGGCAGCCCACACACGTGCGCTTATCAACCCAGCACAAGAGCTCTGGGACGAGGACGAGATCGCCAAGGAGGCTGCACACGAGCAGGCATTGCTGGCTAATTATTTAGAGCCAACTGCAGCAACGTCTGCGGGCGTGACGATGCTGCAGACGAAGAAGCGCAGTAAGACTGAGGTCTCGGCAATGCTGGCAAATTTGCGGAGCAAGCGCGTGAGAAAGGAGGTCGACTACGTGGCGCTAGCCAAGGAGCTGACCGAACAGCAGTAATGAGCTGCCTGTACTGTGAGACGAGGCACGGAAAATACTTTTTGCTTTTTGTAAGAAATTGGCTGCAAGTAAGCTCAAAATCCATTTTGATTCGTCTTGCTGTTCTACTGCGACACACGCCTCTATCCGAGACAGTCCGACGTAGTTGTCCGCTCTTGAAACGGCGATTCACTCATGAAATTGCTGGTGAGGCTGCGCCGCTGTCCGTTCCTTGTAGCGATCATCAGCCGACACCACCATGATTCCATTGACGGCGCAGTAGACAACGGACACTGAAGGCGAGGGTATCCGCTTCGACTTTCATGTATTCAGTACTGAACAGGACTTGCACTTTTTTAATTACGCTCGTGCCCAATCAAAGTGTACAGAAGCTACACTTGGGGCCAAGGCTGGGCAGCCCGATCGGAGGCGTCGAAGTCAAGCACACGGACGGCAGCGAAGAACTGCATCCCTACTTTAATCTGGCGAAAAGCTACGGCGCTTCACTTGCTCACATCCACGTCGGTCTCCAGCAACTTGCTCGCTGGCAGCAAGTTGAGCACAGTACAGTACCTGTACTGTTAGATGGCTACCATTATGTAGGAAAGTGATGGGTCTTAGATGGCTACATAATGGTAGCCATTTAGATGGCTACATAATGGTACATGTAGCCATCTACCATTATGTATGACCCATCACTTTAAAGAAGAGGTCGGAAGATACACTTCAGTTTGACTTGCTTTGACTAGGGCTGCCCCGTTAGACCTAACCGCATAGAATGCTGGTTTACACTTGTACTCAGTAGGATGCAACATCATGTATGAACCAGCCTGGGAAAGGGGTGCTGCGAGTGAAGGTGACGTCTTGCGATTGGCTGAACGCGCTTCGAATGCTTTTTCAACCAATCCATACGTGGCATGACACAATGTCGCACATGTCGCAGATTACTCTGTACGTAGTATTAAAAGATCTATTTAGCAAAATAGAACTTTAACTATTAATAATACTTCCTTTTTTAATTAGATCAAAATACGACATTCAATGTCCCTTTGTTTGAGAATACTCTAGAATACTTAAAGCAGCCAATGTATTATTATATGTTGGGTATGAATGTGATTGTGGATTCCTAGCCCTGATTGTACTATTCTGACCACCGCCCTATCGCTTCAACTATTTCGGCCAATTAGAGAAGGCTACAAGCGATATTGAAGATGGGCGATCTAATCCCGCGATTGGCCAAAACCCTGATTATCGTGCTGTGATTGGCAAAAAAGGGCGAAACTGCCAGCTGCTCACTGAATTTTTGCTGCAAGCTGCCTCACTTAGCAAAAAGACAGCCAAGCCGCGAGTCACTTGCGTTCACTCAAGCAGCAAGCAACAGCAACACAGAGCAAACAGAGGCGCCTAACGCCACAGAAAACACATCACCACAGCATACACAGCAGCAGCATGATGGATGCCTCGCCCAGTAGCATCACCGCGCTCGTGCCCAGTGCACCCGCCGGCAACCGCCGCCCACGCGCCCAGAGCATGCAGCACTTCGGCGACAATTGCTCGGTACCACGCGAGTGTTGCAGCTCCGGGTCTTTTGTGAGCAAACTGTACCGCATGGTCGACACAGAGCCTTCCACGATCGTTTCGTGGTGTCGAGGTGTGATATCTGCAGTGTGATATCTGCAGTCATGGTTTTCCCTTATCTACGGTTGAAGTTGGTCTGACCGTATCGTTTCTCCTTTTGCCTTGTAGGTGGCAGCGCGTTCTGCATCGTAGACCCCAAAATGATGGCAGAGCACTGTCTACCCAAGTACTTCCGCCACCGCCGCTTCTCGAGTTTGATCCGCCAGTTGAACTTCTACAGCTTCTACCGCGTGCAGGAGGGCCAGCTCACCATCTACCAACACTCTTTCTTCCGGAAGGGCCGCCCCGACCTGCTCGTCCACATCAAGCGACGCGGAGCTGGCAAGGCCAAAGATCCGTGGTTCGACCCCCTGGCCAACACAAACAGCAAGGCGCCCGAGCAACACTCGCCGTCAGTCGTCCACTTGACCCCCATGAGCGGCGCTCAGACGCCGACGTTGACGCCGACGCCTCTGGGCCTCGCCGCCTGCTACTCGCCCATGGCCAAGCCTGTCGCTTTGGACAACATGTCACCGGCACTGAAGCCCGCCATGGTCATGGCCTGTCCGCCCTCTGTTGACCTAGGTGGATCGTACCTGAGCGACGGCCTGATGAAGAAGGACATGGACCATGCGTACCCATTGCCGTCGGCACTCAACATGAAGAACGAGCTGCTTTTCGGCGACTTGATGGACACGAGCTTGTCGCTCCCCAAGACGTCGAGCGTCTTGTCTGCGCCGTTGGACATTGACATCCAAGACTTTCTCACAGACGATTGCAGCATCACACCTGACCAAATCGACGACCGAATGTGCAGCGGCATGAACCAGAACAAGTGCGCGATGGTCTCGCGCGACTGTCTGAAGCTCGACGATCCGCAGAGTCTGGAGCCGTCGCCTGTGCTGACGAGCCAGGAGGACAACGAGTCGGCGAGCTTTGAGGACGAGGTGCTGATGGATCTGGCCAATGTGGAGCCAGGTGCTTGGGAAGTGCCACTGTCGCCGTTGAACGACGAGGAGGACGTGATGCCGTGGCTGGACTTATGCTTTTAGACAAGCATGGATGACGTACAGACCGACCGATAGACGAAGACGTGATGCTGAATATTTATAACCCAGCGACGCTGCTCAGCCTAAGTCTGTCCCCTCCCGTCCACGAGAAGGCGGCCCCCCTTATGGGAAGGTCCAAAACAAGGTTTCTTCATCATTCGTCCCCGTTATGACTCCCAAGTGTCGTAGGATGTAGGCAGGAATTAAGTTAGCAAGTCATTAAGGCGAGGATTAGGACAGGTATGTAAAGTAGGACGTAGGCGACGTAGGGTAAGAGCAGCAGAGCTAAAGGGAACGAAACAAGATCAAGATGATAAACCAACAAAGGAAACCGCATGTGAATCCACCAAGCTAGTTCCTCGCCGTCGGCGCTCTCTGGCTGCTGTTCAGCCGCGGGAAAGGCTCCTTAATGTAATACGCACTGCGAGTAGATCTCCATGCCGCCATGTTCACATTGTGAATCATCATTACAGTACTCCTGTAGCTCTCTTGCAGACAGAAGAGCGAGCCACAGCTCTGGAATCACACTGAAATGTACACTGTCAAAAATCAGATCGTTTGCTGCTGGCTATCTTACGTTGTTAGTACTTGAAGACGGACACGCGGCCGGCCACCGTCTGCGTGGACTGACGCGCCTCCTCCTCCTTGAACGCCAACTTGGTCTCCTTCTTCTCGGCACGTCGAGCCATCTTGTCCATCTTGACAGCTGCTTTACGCGCGCGCTTCTCTTCCTTGGTCTCGCCTTTCAGCCTTCGACTGGTCTCCGGCTGCTGCGGCTGCTGGTGCTGCTTGTTCGCCTTGGGCGCCGCTGTCTCGAACACACCCAGCGGCATTCCCGTTTTACGGGACAGCGTCACCTTCTGCTTCCGGATGTCTTCGCCCTCTGAAATACTGACCACCGCTGGCTGTTTCTTCTTCTTACGACGCGTCGGCGCCTCCTCTCGCAGCACTGTCGGATGGTTGTCCAGGGTCGAGTACGTGCTCACTATGGTCTCGCAGTCCCACTTCTCACGCTCCTCTCGCTGCAGATACGTGTTGCGTTCGAACAATTCCTGTAGCTCCTTCTCCTCACGCTCAGCACGCGCCACGGGACCCTCAGGCTCCTCTTCATCCTCCGTCTCGGCATTCTCGTCGTACTCGTAAGCGAAACGTTCTGCCTCGCACTCCTCCAGCACCTTCTGAAGTTGGTTACCCGCACGCAGAGGGTTGCCTAATTTGCCCTCAGCATCTGCCAGTTCCTGTTGAACGAACGCGTAGTCTTCCACAATGGCAGCAAGCAGCTCTCCATCCAGCGTCTCCTTGCCGCGAGTCTCTGGATCGTCCTCCTCCAGCTCACCTAGCTGCTCATCGTCGTATTCCTCCGCCAGCGTCTTCTCAAACAGCTCGTCCAGCACTCGCTGAGCCTCGTCACGGTCTTCAGGCGCCTCGACACCGTCGTGTTCGTCTTCCCCGTTGCTGAACTCCTCCTCGTCCTCACTAAACTCTTCCTCCTCACTGTCCGTAATGTTGCCACGATACAGCGGAGTGACGCCGCTGGCTGCCTCCATGAGCTTGGCAATGTGAGCGTCATAGTCAAAGTCATCGGTGCCTCCTTGCTCCGCGTTCTCCTCAGCCGCCTGAACCACAAAATTGTCGTCTAGCTCCTCGAAGGCCTCGTCGTTCACCAGCGCCTCTCTCAGATCGTCGTCCATAACGTCCGTGGTCAATGTAATCGCATCCAGTAGTCGATCCTGCTCCTCAACACTGGGCAATGCATCATCGGGCAGATCCACTTTCCTCGACAGCGCTCGAGCCTCCTCCCCAGCGTCAAAGCGACTCGTAGCCGAGTAAAATTTGCCTTGGCCCATCTCTTTCATGTGCTGCGCGTAGTCGTATCCATCTCTAGGCAAACCATTCTCGTCCACAAGGTCCTCAGCCTCCACGCCGCCGAAATTCACTCTGCGTACAGGGAAAGCAGACTTGCTCTTGCTCTTGCTCTGCTTGGGTTTGGAGCTCTTAGCTGGCGCTAGAGTGTCGATGAGATCGGGCATCTCGTCGTCGCTGTCCTGTTCTGAGCCATCGTCGTCGGACTCGGAGTCGGAGCGCAGCTCTACGTGCTGGCTGGAAGACAGAAGCACGTACTTCGACGCCTCCGGGTCGTTCGTCTTGGGGTCGCGCTGGCTGCGGTGCACCACATGGAAGTGCTGCGCTGTCTTCTTGTTGATAAATTGTTTCTTGCGTACCTATTAGACAGACACGGATGGTTAGCTAGTTGGTCATTGGCGGCGTCGAGAAGGACAAGACACTCGCCATGGTGACCAGTTGACGCTGCTTTTTCACTGGCCTGGGAACGATTGCTTTTGGGCAATTTTGTAATAAAAATGAATTGCGATTTTATTAATTGCCTTTCGGCAATATTGTTGCAGCAACGCAATGCTTACCAGTACCTACCGGTACTGTAGGGCTCACAAAAGCTCGTACAGTACTGCACCCCGTTTTGGCGCCCTTGGACCTTTGATAAACTCCCGGATGTGATGATCCTGAATCCAAATGAGCTGACGTTTGTAAGCTAATATCTAATTATTTGCAAATCCTATATGGTCCACCCCCGCGAAAACGAGGTGCAGTACTGTATTCGCTCGGATACCGGTACCGTGTTCTCGTGGCAACTCCCCGATGTCTACCAATAGTTTCGATCATGATGCACAGGTGCCCCGTATGAACCATGGCTTGAGGCTCCGAAACTTCTCTAATAAAATTATTGACCACAGCTTCCGGTTCTGAGGAAGACATCCAAGATGGATATAGATATCTTTAGCGGCCAGCACACTTCTTAATCGAGAAGCAAGTTGAGCCGCTAATGGTAGCATTTTCCAACTGATCAAGCCACCCGCAAGCCCAGGAAGAGCCTCCACCAACAACACCATGCAAGATGCAGCACTTCCTGACAGGTATACAGGTATACTTACAGCCAGCATGGCTTGCGATTCAAAGACTCTTTTCTTACCCATGTGGTATTTCGGCCAACAGACCCTGCACCCCTCGCAAGCGCCTCCAATTTGCGCGGCAGGAAGACCACAAGACTGGCCAGAAGATCAAAATCACTCGTGAAGCCACAATCCGCGGCGTCTCGGCCATCTTCGTGGGGACGACAGTGCAGGCCGTCGTCAATACTAGTCCCCGGAAGCATGAGCAGACCGCTAATGGCACCAAAATGAACAAAATTGCAACTTAATACGGATATTTCCTGTATGTTAATGAAGCTCTTTCCACTCAGCTCGATTGCTGTGTTTGCGGTCTATCAAATGAGCGACCTGTCACTTCCTTACAGCTTGGCCAGGGCGTCGTTCATGGCGGCCAGGCCAGAGGCGTCCAGCTTGTCGGCCGAACCACCGCAGGCGGCCACGAGGGCCTGCAGCTCCTCCATTTCGAGTGATTCGCACAGGTCCTCCGTCTTGATGACGTCGATGGATCCCTCCAGTCCCTGCTCGTGGGCTGCCGTCATGAGCTCGCGGAAGGCCTTCTTGACCTTACGGAAGAGCTTTTTCTGCTTGTCCTTGGCCATCTTGGCGTCCTTGCGCGCCTCCTTCACCTTCTCTTCGGCCTCCTGAACGGCACGTTCGGCCTCCTCCTTCTTGCGGTTCTCCTCGTCAATAAGACGCTGGGCCGCCTCCTCCTTTTCGCGTTTGGCACGGGCCTTGCGGTCCTTCTCCTCCTGCTTCACGCGACGGATACGCGGATCGTTGGCCAACGCGCGGTCTACCAGACTGGCCAGACGAGCGTACTCTTTTTTCTTCTTCTTCTTGGCCGCAGCCTCGTTCTTCTTGGCCATCCAGCGCTTGTGGTCGCGGTGTTCGGCCGAGTCCACGTCGTGCTCCGAGTCGTGCGTAAAGTCACGCCACGAGTCGAATTTGTTCCAGAAGTCGTAAAAGGCGTACACCTCGTCGATCGGCTTGTTATCGCCGCCCAGCTCAGGCACTGGCTTGTTCTCGCTGAAACGAGCGTTTGCCGTAAACACAGGGCCGTAGAGCTCGTAAAAGCTCTTGCCCTCGCCGTTCGGATCGTTCTCCTTGATCTTCTCGTTGCCCGTCGGGATCCACTCGTCAAAGTCGCATTGCGAGTCGTACGCGCGCTTCTTCTGTGGGTCCATAAGCGTTGCAAAGGCCTTCTGTACGGCCAAATAGTTGGGGTCGTTCTCCGTCTTGCCCGTTTTATCCGGGTGGTGCTCAATCAGCACACGGTGGTAGGCCTTCTTGACCTGTTCGTCCGTCACGTCAAAACCCACATCGGCCAGACCCAACTGCTGGTACATCGTCAAGTCCAGGAAGTTCTTGCCGCGGATACTGCGGCGGTATTTGCGCAAAATCGACTCCTCCTGCTTGCGCAGCGCGTCGCGCGCCTGGGCGGCTTCGTCCAAATCCTCGCAGCTGGCCGAACGGCCGCGGGCCATGTTACGAGCGCGCTTGTTGAAGGCGCGACCCACAGGCTCCACGCGCTTCTGCGCGAAATAGCCGCCCAGGCCAAGCACGACCTTGGACTCCTTGGCGTCTGCAGGGGGCGTCGGTAGCGACAGCGTCAGCGAAGACATCGGTTCTCAGTGACGGACGTTTTCTATTGTGAAAAACGTTGGAGCTGCTGATTACAAAAATGGTTGGCCAGGGGGCACCATCCTTACAGAATGCAAGTGCGAATTGTGTTCTGTTACATCATTCAACAAACCATTCTTACAAAAGTAGAGGTTATGCCAGTGAACGGAGGTAGTAGAAGCGATAGCCAGCATAAGCGACCCCCGGTACGAAGAAGGCGACCATGAGAATAGCGGAGACCATGCTGCGGAGGGCGTAGAAGGTGATGTAGCCGAACATGAACGTTGGTGCAACTGCCATGGCGAATAGAAGTGGAATCCCTCCTGGAACTTTGGTCGGACGAGCGATGTATGGCAAATCGCGTCGCAGTTTGATGATCGCAGCGATGATAACTAGCTGGACACCGGCAGAATAGGCGTTGGTCATGATGAGCATGCTGTCGAAATCCAGGTTGATTAACGCCAGCATGAGCACGAGAGTTAGCAAGGCAGCATTTCTTGGGCTCTGGAATCTAACACTGCGTTTGGCCAATACTCTCGGAGCAAGGCGGTTATCAGCCATACCACTGACGAGGAAAGTCTTGACGTGCAACGCTGCCATGCACATACCCGCCGTCCCGCAGCACGACGCAATCTGAATCAGCGTACGCAGGAACTTCCCACCGACGAAGTACGCGAAGAAGGGGAACGAATCGCGATCAAGCAGGAACCAGGGTAGCGCATCCGACACGATGCCGGCAGTCATTGGAATCAAGTACGTGAAGAGGATGAGGAGGCAGGTGTAGGCAATCGCTCGAGCGTACGAATGAGCTGGATTCTGCACTTCACCGCCAAAGACAGAGGCGTTGTTCATTCCTTTAAACTTGAAGAAGAGCGTATTAAGGAGAGTCGTCCATTGGATGGCCACCTCACCCGTTGCAACCACGTCGCGTGTATCTGCGTCGTATTCGATGTTTTCTCGTCGTATCCCAAACACATTATCCAAATCGGAAGACTCCACAATCGCCCAAACCGTGAATACGGTAAAGCAAAGGATCACTACCCCAGTGACTACGATACTAAGTCGGCCAACGGCAGTTGTACCCAGAAATGTGGGGATGGCGAGGAGGATTCCAATTGCTGCCTTGATGAAGTATGTAGTCACGGAAGACTTGATCTCGATGTTGTAGTATCGAGTGAGTAGACCCAATAGTGTTCCAGGCATCAACGCTCCTCTCAACACACCAGCCACCCATGACCAATACCCCACTTGGAAAGCCCAGAAGGGACCGAACGCGTTCAACACCCACACTGTGAATCCACCATCTTCCGGAAACGCTGAGCATAGTTCAGCGACAATGTAGGCGAACGGGAATGCAACGAAGAGAGCGTAAAGCAAGAACCCCAAGAGACCGACGAGAGGCCCACCTGCCGAAATAACAGCCTCGGATCCGATGGGACCAGCGCAGAGGTAAACGTACAGAATAGACACAATTCCAACCACGCCAAGACGACGGTGGTTGACTGCCAGTGCTGGTCTGTGATCGTATAGGCTTGGAGACGGCTCAATCATGTCAACCTTGTCAAAGTGCCCGCTACAATGAAAGCACATGAATTCGTGTTAGCTATTGGTTGCTGGTGTGGAATAAACGAGCATTTCACTCACACGAAGGACCCGGAGGGTGCCCTGTCCTCGCGAGGAGCGTAGAACGTGGTGTCCACGTTGAGTGTGGCATTCTTTGAGCCGCCATCTTCCAACATCGGCAAGTCTGAAGCTGCAATTGTATCTGTTTGGCCAGATCGTTTGTACCTTAAGGTGGTCGCTTTGGCGAGGTAGAGGCTCCTCGGATGACAGTTATTCAGCTGGCTTGCTCTGTTTTTCGAAGCAACTGCTTCATGAATTTGCGTGGCGGTGGTCTCGGTATAGGGAGAAAGTCGAGACACAGATGCTTTGATTCAACGAATGCTTTGAGCACCTTCGTAAACTAGTGTGTCTTTTCAGTATTAGTTTTGAGAGCATCAAACTCTTGTGTTGCTGTACCCGATAAGCAGTTCGTTTCACAGCGCTTCTACAGTATTCCACAACAATCGGTACAGTAGCTGGCGAAGATGTTTATTCATCTGCTACACGGCCATCTCACAGGCAAGAATAAAACTGGTACGCAAGCTTCATCCCTATCCATGTCCAGTTCTGACTCATGGATGCTGAAGGTGAGCACCGGGACACGGGGGTGGAGGTTGAGTCAACCACGATTCCTTTGTTTGCGAAGTACACTGTACTCCGAAGTAATGATTAATAACCTTCGCAGGCAGCTGGCTGTTCACTTATTAATAATATGTGTATTATTATAAATGTCCATTCTGATCCCGTCGGCGCCGAATCAACTGCCATTTTTCTTTAAAACATTTGGTGATAAGCTGTCAGCGTTCCAGGCCACATGGCGTTCTGGGCACAAAGTCTGTTCAATCTGAGCGCACGTCACCTGCCAGCCGAGTTGCGGCTTGCGTTGCAAAGCCCATAACAAGCTCAGTTTGAGCGCAGCGCGCCATATTGGAAGCAGATGTCGTCGCCTATAAGTATCTCCATCACCTCTCCGCTAAGAAACAGAACTTACAAAGGTAGAATGACCACTCGCTCTTGCACCAAACGAGTCCAGCTCACTCGGAAATTTTCCACTTGCCATCGCAAGCTCACTAGAAATCACCGTCATGGCGGAATCACTGCCAGCTCAACCTTCGTTTCCAGCACCCGAAGCAACACGGCGAGCCACCGCCCCAGAAGATGTACAAGAGCTGCTTCACCAAGCAAAATATACAACTTCTCCGGTTGAAATACCCAAGGAGACTCCCTTGATGATGCTTCCTGATGGTGAGACTCAAGCCTTCCGTCATCTCGCTCACAGTATCGTCTCGCGAACATTGGCCCACGAGAGCGAATACCACCGCACAAAGCGTCCAGAGCTGGGCCAACGCGACTGGAAGCTGCTCAAGCGTCAGAACGAGATCAGTATCTACAAGCGCAGGGCTCCAAAGATACCGGAGCAGGGCCGTACTGCCGCACAGTCCAAGCGACCCATGGCTCTCTGTGTTGGATCCATTGCAGGAAAACTTGAAGACGCTCTCTATGGCGTCCACGCCAAGACTCGTGAGGAGATGCAAGTAACGTTGCCCTACTTAAGCAAGGGTCATGTTGACTGTGCAATGCTCGCCAAACTCGAAGGAGCCTCGACGACGGATCCGTATCGCCAACTCTCGCTTAAATGGCATCTCGCTGATGCTTTGTCGGAGGCGAAGATCATGAAACTTCGCGACCTATGCACACTCGAGTCCATGGGGATTAGCACCGATGCTCAGGGTGAACGGTATGCGTACTATCTGCTCCAAAGTGTGGACTTTGCTGGATGCCCACCACCTCCTGAGGACAGCGACGTCATCCGAGCCCACATGATGTTCTGCTGCATTTACCGCCAAGTGCCGGGATCGCACATTGTTGACGTGTACGCCAAGGGGATGTTCGACTTGGGTGGTGACATTCCGTCATTCCTCGTGTACAATTCTTCTTGCACCTTGATGCTGTCGGTTCTCGGAGCCATGGACAGCGCCAAAGCCAAGCGTCTCACTCTTGTGGCACTACAGAAGGCTGATAATTCAGTTTCTTCATCGATCGATGACCTGTCCACGCTGGACTTGGAGGACTTTGAGCTGACGACAGATTCGAGCCCGTCTGGGTATTCCAATTCGGCGTCCAGTCTCTCAGCGGAGGTCGCGAATGTCATCGCTGCGATGCCACTCGCTTGCTTTCGAAGGGCCACAGGAAGTCCCGTTCTCGGCGACAGTCATCTGCTGAGCCGTGTTGCGTGTGCTCCAAGAAACCAGCTATGGCGTCCATCGTAGGCGCTACGCACCGCACCTGTGGCGTATGTCTCCGAGGTGTCTGCAACAAGTGCCACATGAAGCGCCGCTTGTTTGCTCGACGTCATCCCGTGACTGTGGCGTGCTGCAAGTCGTGTCTGCTGGAAGCCAAACAACTGAGCGTGGACCCTCAAGAGCCATGTCCTATGCTGCCGTAGAGCAGTTGAGAACGGAGTATGTGCTTGCAAGTATAATAAACTGTCAATGTACCGGTACAGTAGTATTGTCCAAATTTACACTTTTTTGCCGAACCGCACGTCAAACCCACAGACTGATCTAATTGGTAAAAATTGCTGCTAAGCAAATTTGCGCAAAGTGTGACGGGGTCACACAGCAAGGAAGTTATTCTTCCGAGAGTCTACAAACTCTCAGTGAACGGCAGTTCACTGGCCCCCTCTTTATTTAAAAGAGAGCGACGTGACCTAAATAAGGTAGATTGTAAACTGAGTATATTTATAGGTAGATAAAGTGTGGGGTTTAATACAAACTATAAGTTACCTATAGAAATGCAATGTCGTTTGACCAATGGTTGGCTTTAAACGACCTTGGTACCTTGTACCAAATATCCCGGAGTATGACGTGTCATACACCTGAAGTGTGAGGTGTCACACTTCATGTAACCAGGGTACACTTAGGGCTACGTACCCCGTTACATCCTCCCCCACTTAGGTTCGGTTTACCGACCAATCAGAATGAAGAGATGTTCGTCACAAACTTTCATTCTCAAAGTCAAAAACCATCGACTTGGCCGCGCGAGCGCGGCGGAGGCTCACTTCACAGTTAGAGCCTCGAGCAGCAACCTGTGCGCTCTTCGTCTAGGTCTCTAACTCGACCGTTACCATGCCTCGTGGCACAGCAAAGAGCGGTTCTAAGAAACGCTCCAAGGCTGCTGCCGGTAAGGCGCAAGCCAAGAGCACTAAGCCTTACGGCAAAGGCTCGGCACTCAAGGAGGCTACTCAGGTGGCCTCCGAGGCGATCGGTTCCTCGGGTGGCTGTGGGCAAGCGAGCAAGCAAGCGCCGCAGTCCGTCGCCCTCGGCCTCAGACAATCGTCCGAGCCCTCGGTTCGTGGAACGTGAGTTCAACTCTGGCAGTGAGGACGAAGCCGAGTCCGAGAGCACGCACGATGCTCCTGCGGGCTCTGTGGGAGGACACAGTCCAGTGCCCAGTGAGCACAAGGATGACAGCGTGCAGTCGCTCGTTAGTGATCAAGGTGGTCACAAGCCCAGAACGTCTGTGCGCTCTGAGAGTCCGGCCGTCAAGGCTAAGGGCACTCCCAAAGCCGGTGACGATGAGGAAGAGAATCCTCGCAAACGTCTCTCGCTTGCCGAGGGTCTTGCGCGTGCTAAGGCCTCTAAAGCTGAAGGCGCCAAGCCCTCAAAGAAGTGTACAGCCTCTAAGTCTCCACTCCGCGAGGAGACGGAGACTCAACAGTATCTTCGACTCCTCGGATGAAGAGGAGGAAAAGGAGGAAGAAGAGGAGGAGGAGGGTGCTATCGCTGAGCCCCGGGAGGTCTCGAATGACCTCGACCAGCAGCAGGAGGAAATCCAAGCTGCCCTGCGTGTGCGTGGGGGTTCGGCGGTGGCACCCGTCAGCCAGGGAGCTGCCATCAACTCAAGAGGGTATTGGCCTCCCGAGGAGAGCTCTATGGCTGATCTCTTCTTAGAGCTTCTCGTCGCTCCTCGTGGCCTTGTGGGCGGCCACACTTCTAGGGGCATCTACGAACGGGCCCTTGTTCAGAAAGAACAGTTGTTCGTTGACAACATGGAGGCTGCTCGGTGTGTGCTTCTCGCGCCACACCGCATCCCCCTTAAGGACTTCACGACTTGTCGTAAGAAGCCCGAGACCCGGGGTGGTCTCTATCCTCTTTGGGGATACCCCTGGGTTATGCCCGAGAACTGCCCCACGTGGCGTTCTTGTGAGGACATGTTCTGGGCATGGGTGGAGTGTGGTGTAGGGATTTCCAGATTCGACCATACGCCAACCTACTTTAGGTCAAGAATCGGCTCGGTCTGATAACCCAGAGCTTAGGAAAAAAGGATCACGGTAGGTACTCGGCGATCTGTCCGGATATGCTATCCGGATAGCCGCTGAGCTCAACGGTCGCCTGAACTCAGCTGAAGGGATTCGAAACGACTACATTTCACTAATAAGAAGCATAGGATTAAATAGGGGGAGCCGAAAGGGCTCCCAGAAGATAACAGAGCAGAATTTTCCTAGTCCAAGACACGTGTACACTTTTCCGGTAAGTCCCTGCATAGGGCTGGATTATGCCTGCCGTCAGTACTCGAAAGGCATAGCTTGTAGGGTATTGACTGGTAGCGCTAAGAGATTAGGTCGGTCCGGGTAGGACAAAGTCTCGCTACGCGCGAAAGAAAGTCCCGCATACTCAGCGGGCCGGTACGTCGGATAGCCCGGGTGCCGTAACACTTCTAGCTGAGCAGCCTCTGCGCTCGGTGACCTGTAAAAGCGCTCGCGCGCCGTCGTCCATCCTCTGGTGGAGGGCACAGGGTTGTGAACGAGCTCAGCCGAATCAAACTCGGCGGAGCCTCGGAAGTGATCTGACTTGGTTAGTCGGAACCGAGTGGAAGCGAGCCACTCGTCTGTCCCGGAAGGGCCGGACCGCGAGGGGACCACCCTCTGCGCAGGCCATACAACCGCCGACCTAGCTCGGCGATTCGTTGTGGTTTGTGTAAAGAATCCACATCTGACGGTATTTGTGTGTTCTACTACACCACAACTGGTGCCGCGACCCGGGAACAGGAGTGTGTGCTTGTTTTTATAGGTGCCAGCTAACCAAGTTAAGAGGAAGAGAAGAGAAAGAGAAGAGTGAAGATGGTCAAGGGATCAGCAACTCCGAGCGACGGAAGCCCAGCGACGGCTGGAGGATCGCCTCTCGCGGGGTCGGACCGGCGGATCAACGACTCATCGCCATGCTGATGGAGGTGGGACGAACCGTCCAGTTCGACGAGGATGGCCAAGACCAGGAGAGCGAGAACGGAGATGCAAGTGAAGGAGAGTATGAAGAGAAGGCCGAGACCGCTGAGCTCGGAGAAACGAAGACTACCGCCGAGCTACTTGGCGAGGTGGAAGAGTTGACGCTGCAGGTGGGACGCATGGGAGCCCCACGTCCTGCCCAGCGCAACTTATCCGCCGAGCTCGACGAAGATGCGGACGATGAAGAAGATGATGAAGAACATGGCGTTGCTCAAGGGGACCGTCCGCCCCTTATTTCGAAAGCGACGAGGAACGCCGATACACCGAGCGCCAATAAAGAGTTGGCTCAACTCGGCGAGGAGATGAGAACGAGATCGGAATGGATGATGATGTTCGCGCCGGTGGCGGTGGCGCAGGCGAAGTGGCCGATGTTGGGTCCCGAGTTAACTCAACCGGTGCGTGCAGCCAACATCAATCAGTTGGTGGAAGAAACTGTGTTGCTGCTGAAGGCGATGGGATATCGGTGCAACAGCCGACCAAACAGCCTCATCCTGTCCGACTGGAGTCTGACCCGTGGCGGAGCTGAGCTTTGGCAATGAAAAAAGAAGTTGAGAGTGGCGTTTGGATTGGAGAAGGCCCCTGGTGGAACAAAGAAGGTGTACAGCCGAGTAGCCGAGTTCAAACCACTCGCCGAAGACCCAAGCAAGATTCCTTTGCCGAAGACCCCGGAGACGAAGAGACGTGACGTGTTCCGCGCTACGCAAGGGACTCCGTACTTCGAAGACTACCACATGCTGACTCCAATGAAGCTAAACCCGACTCAGCGAGCGCCGAGTCGTGGACAGCGGAATGTTGGTCGTTACCGTGAATTGTATGACGCTGCAGACGAGGCTGAAGCTTACGAGGAGGATGAAGAAGACGACGACGCCTTCGACGTGAGAGGAAAACGTGAAGAAACCGTGAAGGACTACATCCGAAACTTGAGCTTTGACGCGGCTGAAGAAGAACCTAGAAGTCCGAACCCGCGCCTCACTCGACAAAATCGCTGAGTTCGAAGGAAAGCGCTACCGCTCTGACGCGTCGCTCCAGTGGCTCAAGCGTTTCATCTACGAGATGAAGAGCACCAGGATGCCCCAAAGTGCCTGGTGTGAACCTTTCTCGCTATGCTTGGGACGCGCGACGAAGAGTTGGTACAGGCAGCTGCCGAAGAAGACTCAGCGACGTTGAAAACTACTCAGCGAGGCGTTCCTGGATTATTATTGCTCACAGTTCGACCAATCCGCCCGCACTCGTTACTACTCGGCGAGACGTAAAGTCAACGAATTGATCTGCGACTTCCTGATCCGACTCAACGGGTATGCTCGGACAGCCTAGATCCAGTACGAGAAGGGTGGCGCCGACGCGGCTGACCATGTCGAACACTTCTTGCTGCCTTGTGGTGATGACGATGTGATGGATTTGATGTACCCTTGCAGTTGGAATACATCAGTAAGGTGGAGCAGATAATCAATTGTCGGATCCTCAGTGAAAAGCGCAAGAAGCAACGCGACCGACTCGTGATCGCACGAGGCCGAGACGATAAGCGGAAGTAGCAAAGCCGTCGCGATGAACGCCGAGATGGACGTCGAGATGAGAAGCGCAGTCGCAAGGAAGAGAACCGCGACCGCCGAGTCACTGTCGTTGACGCTGACTCTGACGGGGAAGAACTCCTCGACCAGAACCCGCCGAGTCCGTACAACTCCGAAGACGAATGGGATGATGAGGACCAATCCGGAGGATACCACTCAGCGGAAGACGACGACTACATAGACGCCGGCGTTTCCAATGATAAGGGAAATACACCGGACCGCCGAGAGAACTCGGCGGGAGACCAGAAAGGCTCGAATCGAAGTTGGGAAAACTCAGCGAACCGACCTCCGCGACCGTACAACCAACGAGAACAGTCGAACCGTGGAGATGGATCACGCGACAACTCACAGCGTGAACCTTGTGCAGCTTGTGGAAGAACGGGGCACTCGGATCACTACTGTCGGCGACGCTGCAAATTCTGCAGACAAGCCCATGAAGTCGGCCAGTGCGAGCTGTTTCGTCAGTACGAGAAGTTGGCTGCGTTCGTGAAAAACTCTGTCGACAAATCGCAAGTGCCGGAAGACCTGCAAACCCTTTACACGCCGAGTGATTTAAACTCAGCGGCTCGCCAACACTGACTGGGTTGGAATATGCCGGGCTGCCACAGTCAGCTGAACCTGCAGTCGAGGCAAACTTCTTGTTTGCCTTCGTA